ACAAAGCGAATACAATGGAAATAGCATCTTTCTTCATCCAAGACAGTGAAAGTTGGGATAAAGGCAAACCAGAAAATAAATCTCTGGCCAACAGATAACGAATATCAATAAAAATTACTGTTATATACAAGGATAGGTTACATTACAATGAAAATGTATACGATTATATTTATATATAATGCTTATAGTATAATTGAATTAATTTCATTTTTTTATTTATTTATGTTGGATTTATCTTCAACTGAATGCAAAACATTTATCTATACCTTTGTTTTTCTCTCCAAATCAAAACCCATAAAGAGTTTAAAAGAAAAATATTAAGTAAAAGCACTAATAAGATGATTACTATTAACTGATCGATTTGAAACACCTATGTTACCAATAAAATGTATTTTTGGTATGTTATTTAGTTACGCATTTCTCAAAGGCGCCAGTAGTCGGTGTGCAAGCCTAGGTAAAAACCAGAATTTCGAAAGTACCAATTGAAATACTTTCTTGCGTCCATCTTTCTAATCCTCATCTACCTTACTTGACTTTATTAATATAGGTTACTAATAAAAGATTAAGGATTATCATATGTTAAATGGTTTTCTATATTCACGATTCACGAACAAAAAATTATTTCTTGGATCTCCCTTTTTTTCCAAAATCAGAATTTGTCAAGATTTTATATTTTAAAGATGTCGGTATCCAGTTTTAAAATACTTAGGTCAAGTTTGAGACTAGGCTCCATTAAGAATTATCTCATTAGAAAATGATATTTCTCGGGACTGACCAATCAGAAATAAGGTTCTTCTTTCACATAAGCAATTAAAGTATAAATCTATAGACAGAAATAACATTTGCCGACAGAGAAAACAGCAAAACGTAGCAGACGATAATTCTTTTAATATTTTGCTATTCCACAAAATTGCTTTTATTCCTATCTATGCTAAAACAAGATATTTTGATAGAAGGTAAATCTTTATTCACATACTTATAACATCTTGCATGTGTGTGGAGGTGTACCTTAGTCTTCTTTGATTGGCGTCTGCGTATGATAATAAGTAATTGTATACAGACGTCAGTCTCCTATCAGTGTAGTGTAGAATGCTGGCGGTAATAATAATAATGGTTTATTTCGATAAAGAGATCTATTTGATCAAATTGGTGTCTTGAGTGTTGTAACAACAATGTTTCCGTCGTTGTACCCACCCTCGGTCTTCTTCAGTTGCCGACTGTATACGTTAATGTTCTTGGAGTTCTTAACTGAACACTTTATTCAATTCATTGGGGTCCACTGTTATTCATACTACATGATGGTATCCTTGTATCAGTTAATTCTTTAGAGGAAGTCGTTCTTATGCTGCCATGTCTGATCGCTCCACTGAACCAGAGTATATGAATTACGCTCCTGACTCAGAGAGTGAACTTGCAACCACCAGGTAAACTAGATACAACTTAAGCGAAGATGCAGTGTTTCAAAGACTGTTTTCCGTACAAAACACTTTATAAGCGAAACAAATGCAATTTGCTAATACACAACGTGCCACAACTCTTTTTAATTAAAGTTGTGTTTAATATTTATAGTCCTGTGCGAAACTATTTTACCATAATGCTTAGAAATGTATTAACCTCAAAATTAAAATCTAGCTCAGTGATATTTCCTATGTTTAAATGTTGCGATTACCAGTAAATATTCATTTTTTTTATCTAGGCCGCATCATGTTGAAATACGAGTTCCAGTAAAATCACTGAAGTACCTACATAGGTGAATACCACGTGCTATAAGCTTAGATATGCGGGTTGTTTAATGGATAATGGCTCAGAATTGCTAATCATAGAGCCGAGTTCCAATTCCCGTTGGGTTTGTTATATTCATTTACGCGCAAATAATCTTGGGAAAGGTATGAATCTCTTTTACCCCCAGCCTTGGGATTAATTAGTAAAACGTGTATCACCAAATCATTCGTATCCAAAAATATTTCTTACATTCTAAAAAAATTTTATGGCTTTAAATAACCTGCAATGTGTTGAAAACGAATCAATTTTATCTAAATTATTATAAACGCCGCTCGTTTGGTGTTTTACGTTCCACCCTCGGTGGCTTGTTTTCTTATGAAAGCTTGTGTTTCCTTGCATTTATAAACTCATTTCAAAAGATTGTCAATTTTTCGCGACAATATAAAGCCATTTTGAATTTCTTTGGACAAAAAACAAACAAAAGAATTTTTAAACGATCTGTCTATGGAACGCTAATTCATAGCTGCTAATATTCTTTTCTACAGTTAGTATATAGGATAAGGCTCAACATAGTTTTTGATTTCCAAATATCATGTTTTATTAATTTAAAAAATTACTTCCCTTGAATGCAATGAAACTTTTAAAGAATTACATGTTGGTTATTATAAAAACTGGCCAATGTGTGAATATTATTTTGCATAGTATTAAATCTCATTTATTGGATATAAAATTGTTCCTTAGATATTTAGGAGCCCAGGCCAATGCCCCAGAATATTTCTGTTCTCATGAAACAACGATTATCAGGTAAAAAAGATATGACAGATTTAGCAAGTATTTGTGTGTATTGACATGAAAATAACTATAGAAATGTAACTTAAGAAATATTCACTTTAGAGATTTAACTTGGACCATATTGCTAAAGAAAGATCGATCAGACGTGCCACTCTTGTGTCAATCATCGATTGCATAAAATATGATGAGTTTTCATGTTTTGCCTCTGATAACTTCACTTATGTTCCACTTGGCGCCAAAATCTGTAGCGAAAACAAAAATTAAGTAAAACTTCATTTTGTTCTTTTCCGCTCCCTCGAATATAATTGCCTGATATGACACTAAATTCTACTTCCTAAATTATAAAATGAATTATATGAATCATACAAAATGCAATTTTGTTACCCTTCATTTTTCTGTCTTTTCGTTTGTCTTCAAATTACGTTACTTTCTTGAATGTTGTTCTATTTCATTTTTACTCTGAACATTTCTTTCTTTTTTTCTTTCTGTCTTTCTTTCTTTCTTTTTTATTTACTTATCTCGTTTCCGCGTATGTTTTTAACATTCTTTCAGTTTTTTCAGTGTTTTGTTACCATATATTTCTTTACATCATTTTGTCTAGTTTCATATAGAAATGTAACTATAAGCGTTTTCTTTCTCTTTCGCAAATTTTCTTTCTATCTTTCTTTCATTTATTATTCTACCCCCACCCTCTTTCTCTCTTCCTCTTTCTCTCTCTCTCTCTCTCTCTCTCTGTAGCATTGACAATATCTATTTTAATTATTTCCTTTTTTCCACCATCCTCCCTCTGTTATTTTATCCCCACTTTTTCCTCAGCCGATCCCTTTCTGCTCTTTCTATAACTCATCATCCCTCCACCAACAAGACCATTATTTCTGAATTTTTTTTTTCATTTTGCATATCAAATTCGTTTTAAATTTTCACTTATTCCACTTTTTGTTTTATTCTTTCCGTTCTTGTCCAGGGTAATGTTTGATTGTTCCATTTTTGCGAGAGGAATTTTCAGTCAGTTTATTTTTTGATTTAATAAGAATTGATCCAAATTATCCAGAAAGTTCAACAAGCAATATGAATAAATAATGTATTTGTTTGGACTACCAACACCTTTTTTATTTTGATTTTACGCTTCTTTCGTTTTTTTTTTGTTTTTTTGTTTTTTTGTTTTTTTTTTAATGTAGCGGAATATGCGTGTAAAAGCGAAGAATTAAATTAATCTTCAGCAAATTTTTGATATTTAAGAGTATTATTTTGCTTTCAAATTGAAAGAAATGAAATTGCAAAAATACTTTGGGAAAACTTTACATGAAATGTTTTATGTATTTTTTTAACAGTACAACTGAATCAATTGCGCTAGTATAGTTTAAACGATTAATGCGTTTATGTGTGTACAGGCATATGTATCAACTCTAGTGTGTTTATGAAACAGGTCTAGTGTGTATTCATTCTAGTTGTAGACGAAGGCGAGAAAAAGCTATAGACGCTACTTTTGCGTATTTACGGATGTATATGTCACATGTTTACATTGTTTGCATTGTGTGTATAAACTCTAGTTGTATACCGTGTGAAAAAAAAGAGTGGAAAGTTAATCCCTACTGCACGTAAATAAGTTAGCGAAATGTCGTCACTAAACGTAATTTTTGTCATGTTGAAACCTCGAAATAAATAAGAGAAAGATATGAGTGATTAATGATGAGAATTTCAGTCCCATTTGTGAGACAAAGGGTCGAACACACAACCGTGGTCAAGTTAAGTGAAAAACTAATTTTGCAAGCGAAATGTTTTGATATAAAAATCTTGTGAATATAACCGGCCCCGAAGGAAACTAAAATTCAGGTTTTTAATCAAGAGCTTTTTGGCTAATAAATAATTTTGCTAATAAATATTGTTGTTATATTCTGAAGCTGATCTTCTAAAAAAAATTATTCAAAGAATACTGCTCACCTCGTTCAACGCTATTGGTTGGTAAATAATGAAAACAGATTCAAATAATTGGAGCCGGAAAAAATACAAAAATTGAGATACTTTCTGTTTGACGAAGTTTTAGTACTTAAATCTATTAGCATTTCTACAATTCTAAAACGATATATATTGTCCTTTTCTTTCTATTTTATCCTTAACATTCTCTCTCTTTGCATCTCTTTCTTTCTCTCTCTCTCTCTCTCAACTTCTTTCTCCTCATCCCCATTACTTTCCCTTTCTCTCTCTCTCTCTCCCAATACAACTTTCTCTCTCTACACTCAACTTCTTTTTTTCTCCTTATCCCCATTACTTTCCCTCTCTCTCCCCTCTCTTTTTCTCTTCTCATTAACTTATTTTCCTTTCATCAACTTTCTGCTATATTATTTTTCTTTCAAATGAAAACAGCAGCATTATATAAGCGCTATTAAAAGTCTAACGCAAAGCAATTTGGTGCATAGGTCATTTGAATGACTTGTGAGCACACGATCCCAGAAATCATCAGAGACCCGTTACAGGTTTCTACTCACGTGATAGGGACGAGCACTGGAGAAACCACGTGACTGAGGGTCTTTCTGATTCGGCCCCGAAGGGGTCTTTCCAGCCTGCAGAAGTCAACAGAAAAATCACTGGCTTTTAAGTAAAATTGTCAACATTTAAAATATTTTCATTTTTTTTTCCATCAAAATGCGATGCAATCAGCGCATAGTAGCCAATATTACATGAAAGATGGGAAGAATTTAATGAAATAAATGAGTGTCACACGGGAAACGGAAGATGTCCTTTCGAACTGAAAACAGAAGGCCCTTTCGAACTGAAAACTTTCCTCGAAGTTCACCTCTAATCCAGCAAACGTCTCATAAGTCAAGCAATCTGAAGCACGAATCGATTGATGCGCTGAATGGCAGGGTATTGACTAGCTCTTTATCTTGTCCAAAAATTAGAAATATATTTGAAGTAAGGAAGATTTGTTATTTAGGTAGTGTGGAGTGGGGAATCAGTTTGGTATTTTTATCGAGAGTGGTAATTCATAAACGTTTATGGGAAATGTTTTGATCAGAAAAGGTTAAAAAAAATCATTGCGTTTAGTCCGAAAGAACTTCTTCCTGAAATAAATATTATTGCATTTGCATTTCTTTCATTCCTATCATGCGTTTGATATTAGATGGATATAAGAAGTTAATGGCATTTTTCTTTGTTGTTCCTACAGTAAAACTATGATGTTTAATAATATTTTCTTAAAGATTCAAGATAATGGCAAATTATGCATTAATGTTGAATTGTCTTTTGTTTTAATATGTCCACTTCTGACCCAGTTATTCGTTACTTACCTTCATTGTAAGTGACATAAAATGGAGTCAGTTTTCTAAATAGTTTTATGTTTCTCTTAAATCTAGTGAAAGAACAAAATTATAAATAAAAGAAAACATCATAAATTTAATCGATCTTAATGGTGTTTATATGTTATGTTTTTGGAAAGTATTAAAACCTATTCGAGACGTAACAGAATTTTTATCCAGCATTTGGTTCTTTAGTAATACATTTTTACGCTCGACAGGATTACTCAGTGTCAGGGTGATAATTAAAATTATAAAGAATGTGTTTTACATGTTTCATGAATGAAGTTGCGCTAAATCAATCTAAAAAATTATAATTTCATATTCAATTATTCAAATCTATCTTTTTCTATAATTTATTTCCTTGCTTATTTTATTTTTCTATGTGTGTATGGTATTCCTTTGGCAATGTCTATAAATACGATTATTGCACTGGACGTCATTAATAATAATAATGTTACATAATTTCTTTTATCTACAGTGTTTCTTCAGAAAGTGAGGTGATCTTGGCTCTCCACAACTTCCTATTCTTCATAGCTGTAAGTAATGCTTGGCCTTTTACTATCTTCCCCATTCCTTGTTCTGTCATCTATAAATACAAGCTAGTTTACTCGATGTTTTTCTCGGTCTCTCTTGCCTTCAATGTGCACGATGGATCAGATTTTCCAAACCCTTACTTCATTATGTGTTCTAGAAACTTCTCTTACGAATAGCAAATAATTAAGAATTATAAAGCTAAAGCAATAATACGAATTAAAAGTAAACCAATAATAGCAATTAATGTATTGTCAATAAAGTTTAGATGTACTATTATCCCTTATTATTGATTTTGTTCGCTATATTTAAATCACGTTTGCCGAGTTTCAACCCTTGACTGTGGATGAAATCTCAAATTTTTTTGTTGCTAGTCCATTATTCTAACTCAGTGTTCCTCAACCTTTTAAGCAACGGCACACCTAGTCGCAAATGAAAATAACACGGCGCACTTAGCAAAATTTGTAAAGGGTATAATGAAATGAATGTTAAAACAACATTAATAACATCATCGAAGTATAGTGAAAAGAACTATTTAAAATCAAATACTAACGCTGTATCATTAATAGTTTCACACACCACATACACACACACACACACACACACACACACATATATATATATATATATATATATATATATATATATATGCTGTGACAATATTTCGTGGCACACTTAAGAGGTTCGCACACGGCAGACTAGGATGGCAACAGCTAAATAATTTGTTACAAGAGTAAATGAAAATGATTTTCATAAATTAAATTAAAATTAATTAATTTAATTATTTTCTTGCGAATAAGTAAAAAATCTGGAATGCTTCTACAAAGGTATTGCGGATAGAAAACTGTTTCAAAATATTCAATTAAAAATATTTCTACTATAATCATGTGATATTTTCATAAATGTTTGTGTAAATAGACGTATGTGGTGACCTTCTCTTATTCATTGCATTTTGCACATTCATGAACTCTTTCTCTCTATCTGCCTCACTGCCAGTTTTTTCTCTCTCTCTCTCTCTATATATATATATATATCACACACGCACACACATACATACAGTTTATTGAGTACTAATAGTATAGTGGTTAGTTTATTTAGCAAGTCGTTGTTGGTGATGTGCTCTAAAAATATAAGTTGTTTTTCTATACAAGTTCAAGGGATTCAATGGACCGAAACGAGGAATCTATGTAGTAAAGAGACTTTATATTTGTTGATATTCAAAAGAGAAAAGAATTCATTAGCTGAACGAAATCCGCGTTAAATAAGCAAATTATAAGGAAAGAATATTTTCAAAGTAATAAAGCAAACAAGTAAAATTTATTCTAGTTTTCCTGTAAAGTGACAAAATTTAGAGACATCTACCTAATTAAAGCGATTAAAATAAATAACAGCGGCTACGCGGCTTGGTATGAAGTCTACGGGGTTCTAGGAGTCATTGCAAGTCTATATCTATTCAGATATGTTCCAAGTCTGTCAATATATGTGTTAGTTGCCAATGGAGCATCTGGGAGTCAGCCATGAGTCCCTGGGACTAGTTTTCTGTCATCCACGAACGATGGTTTATTGCTTTATCTTGTGGAACAAACCGTTACCATTGGGAAACATGGCGAGCATAAATTAATTCAGATGATCTGCAATAAAATTTACACCTGTCAAGACAAAATTTATTTTCACTATTGGCTATTGTGAACACCACCAGAAATTACCCTACAATATTCCAGAGTCGTCAGCAGCTCTCGCAACAACCCGTTAATAGGCTAGATCCATAGACTCACTTGATCTCCACACACGAAATTAATTGCCTCCTACCCAATGAAGTGAAACTGGGTACCCAATATCAGTCTTATTTGGTTAAATGATGGTAATGTTCTCTGGTTCAAGTGGGGCTCAGTAAACGATGCCACGGTGGCAATAATGCTTCCCTTCTTGACCGACAACTGCGACACTTTATGGAATGCAACATACACTGTTTAGTGCGATGGCTAATGGCTTGATGCAATGCTTCAATTCTTAGGGTCGTCGCCAATCTTCTCAGTTATCGGCAGTGCCGTTCTTTTCATCACCTGTGGGTACACCTACTGTACAAGCCTTCATATATGTCCGGATCTCACATATTCACATATGCCCGAGAAAAAACCTAGAACGGTTGTACCTTGTACAGGGCGATTGAAAAGTAACTCACTATTTTTGTATGAATGACCAGCCAGGAGTCTTGACTTCACACCCTGTGACTTTTTCTTTGGTTAAAGGAGCAAGTGTCTACCAAATCAATACTTTGGAAGAACTTGAAGGGCGAATACAAAAAGTTATGTCTTCCATACCACAAGAATTCCTGGTGAAATCATTTGACACGATTCCTGGGCGACTCGAGAAGTTGGTAGCGAAATCTGGTGTCCCATATCGAATTTTAAATAAAACCTCGTGCTAAACGCTCTCTTCTCGTATGCATTGCTTGTAAAAATTATAGTTAATAAATAAATTATATGTATTTTAAACTGGAGAGTCGCTTCTCAATCACTCTGTAGATAAAATGTTACAGATTTTTGGCGCCATCAATCATTTTGCAGTCAAACAATATTAAATCCTGTCTTTGACCCGTGACTACCACAGCTTCACTAACTCTTTAGGTGTTACGTCACAGATACGTCATCCAGATGAGTCCATTTCTGCTTGTGGAAGAGGCCGAAATCATCTGTGTACAGATGTCTATTTGGGTAGCTCCAAGTTTATTTACATAGACTTATATATACGCATCTAGGGAGAACGTCAACGTGGCGCAATGTTTAGCACACTTGTCGTTTTAGAGCAATTATGCCTCAGTAGTAAGTTCGATCCACAATGTATTCATCGTACTTTAGGCTTTGTGCTACATCTAAGCTACGCTTAGTAAATCACTATATATAGTCTTCTAAGGAAGTATTTTTAAAAAGAAAAACTTTTAGATTTGTAATACTATGCGTGTGCATGTACGTTTGTGTGTGTGTGTGTGTGTGTGTGTGTGTGTGTGTGTGTGTGTGTGTGTGTGAACCTTAATGTCTGTCCACATATCCTTGCCGTATGCTTTTAATATTGTTAGTTTCACGGCAGTGAGTTCACTGATTATTTTCAATGCGCCAGATTTATTTAATATCTCTGTTGAAGACAGAAGGATGGTGTGATGGTTTTTAATTTATAAAGTGTCTAGTAAAAGACCATATTCCTCAGCTAGATAGATAGATAGATAGATAGATAGATAGATAGAGACAGACAGACAGACAGATTCCTTGTGCTCATGTGAATATTTTGAATATGAATTTTTTCTCTCTTTTGATTTCTGTAACATTATGCGTTTGTATCATTCTGTTGGTCCATAATGCAAATACTACTGCCTTCTTTACACACACAAGCTCTTACTTCATTTGTGTGCATCTATCTGTGCATATGTACATGTATGAGTGTCTGCCTATATGTATAGAGCACTTTTATAAGGATGCCTTATAGTATCATGAAGTCATTATTTGGTTGTCACTAGGTCTTCATTAGGTATTAAATTCTGACAATGATTTCTAGTTAGTCAATCATTAATTAAAAGTAATATTTTCTGATGCTGTTGTTATCTGACAGCCACTATCTTTCATCTCTGGCTTGACTGGCGGAGACATATGAATCCTAGCAAGGATCAATAATTTGTGTCTGATTATTTCTCTTGCGCAAGATCTATTCTAGTCATTTAATTGCTTTGGTTTGTTTTACGGCATATCAACCTCAATGGGTTATTTAATGCTGACAGAATTTTTATTGATAGTAATATTTTTTTTTCGAAAATGTATTGCTGGTAATATTTTTTCCTTCAAAAAATCTAGTTCTGGTAATGTTTTTTCTTCAAAATGTTTCGCTGGTAATAATTTTTCCTTCAAAAATTTATCGCTGGTAATATTTTTTTTACAAAGTATTTCTGGTATTGAAACCTATTTTTACACTTTCATAGTGTTTTGACCCCACTTTGGGGGTTAATTATTTACCCACAGTTGGTGACCCTAACAGATGCTAGCACCCCCGGTCAGGGTGGACCTGGGAACACCAGCAATTAAGAGGTGATTCCACGCTCCTCAAAACCTCCTGATTAGAGACCTTGCTGTTAGATGTAGTTTAGCGTCTTACGCCTAGTCGTCTTGATGTTGAGCAAGTAACGCTTAGCGTCATCATTGGTCATAATGTTAACTTCTACATAATGACGTCATTCAGTGGATCCCATCCCGGAAAAAGTAAACAAGCTGTAAATTCTGCAAGAAAGTATTTTCAAAATAAACCCAGACTCCGGAGAATTCCTACGGTAGAATTTGTTTTACGCAAATTTGTTTTAATAATAATAACGGCACATTGATAAATAGCACTATAATCCCCGTCCACGTTTTGGTAGTTGCATATCACGTTTTTTATTCATCCGGGTTTTTTTTAAGTTACGTGTTCAATTCTAGTAACAATTTTCCTTCTGATTAATACATCTTAATTCTATCCTTTTTTTTTTTCTATGAATACTTTTAGTTGGAGCAAACTAAACATATTCTACTTCGTTTTACAACTATTAAATTTTTGGATAGTCATGGAAAGAAAAAGAACACAACAGAGATTTATTACACTGTTCAAATGTAATTTCTACAGCAAAACTTTTTTCTTTTTTCGTATTAGATTATTTTACTTCATTATAAGAAATTGTAGAAAATTTTAAGAGTTTACAACGAGATGTTAGGACATGATCAGAAATATTGATAAACTGATACAAATTTATTTCCATTTCGATGAAGATGGTGTACAAAGATAACAGTTTAAAAGGGTTTTTTGACTAGGACTTAATGATAATACCTTTTGTAATCTTTGATACTATTGTCACACATTTTTATCAGGAATAAACTGATAATAGTCAGGGGGTTGTTAAAAGAAATACCATTACCGTAGATATCGATATGTCGACTAAAGTTTCCATTATGGTTCAATGCATATTAGTCAGTGCAGATAACTTATTATTGGGTCTTATAAGTAAATGAATGACTTGATTAAGTCTTACATAGTTTTCTGTTTGAACATAAATTAATAATGACTTTTACTTATTTTTGGTCTATTTGATATTCTATGCAGAATTTTATTGGTGCAATGCGTCTGATACTATCGCAAAAGGACAGATGATAGTTAACATGAGATGTTTTTTACGAGTGTCGGGCAAAAATGAAGGCATGTTCTTTAATAATAGATGCTCACAAAGTATCCTAAAAAGAACACAAATGTCTGAGAATTCCAAATCAAATCCTCAAAACAGTTTCCTTCTTTTCAGTTGTGGTATTATCCTTCAAAATGGGAGTCTGTGTGCCCGAATTATAGAAGCTTACTGACTGCTTTCTTATCAATGTGTGAGTTGACACATTCACCTCATTACCATTGGACTATTTTGCGTATGAGGGTGCTGTCCGTGCTGTGTAGCTCCAGAAGATCTTGGGCAGCAACCATAAGTAATCTGGAAACCCATTTTGCACAGACATCTGAGTTGTCAGGACTATACTAAACTGCACATACTACCACAGTTCATTTAAAAGTTTTGTGATATTGATTTTTCTGTTTTAATAAGAGCATTAGCCTTATCTTCATTTATAGCAGCAGCAGACCTGACATTGCGTACCCTGTCACTAAAGTCATTTTCTCTTTTTTTTTTAAATACCATTAACTCTACTAACCCATCTCCTGTTTCAAGTGTAGCATTTTCCTAACCATTCACTAATCTTCTGTAATACTTTCTTCCTCCAAAAACAAATTCTGTGATAGCTTTTTGCTTTCTATGTGTCTAAATGAATAACCATTTTAAAATGTCTATTTTAATATTTTTATCCTGTTAGAATTATAATAATGATTCTTGTAAAATCACTAATAATAGTACTGCTTCTAGTACGTGAAACAATATCAAATATTGGACCGAGCGATCGGGAAAAACGGATAGTAAGATTAAATCGATAGCAGTAAAGAACTTGTAGCCGAAGTGAAAGACCAACTTGAAAAGACTTTCCGAGACAAAAGGAAAGCGTGTTCGAGTTTCAAAGAGAGTTCAGTTTTTATTTTCGTTCAATACTGTTTACTAATAGAAAAAAAAAACTGGTGCTCTGAGTAGTTGAGATGAAGCGTCTCAACCAAAGATGAAATAAGCACGTGTCTAAGATTGTTGATTGATCTTTGGAATTCCAAAAACTTATGAAATATGAAATTTTTCAGTAATCTAAAACATCACAAATTATATGCAAGATTTTTTTTTATTACGTACTTAGACAATATAATAACGGAACACTTCGTATAAAAATGATGATTACAAATTACTATTTCCTCTTTGGATAACTTACGCCATTGTGGTCGTGTTCCAGACTCTACTGAACTTGATAAATAGACACAAATTCTTCATGAAAAGTACTTTATTAAAGATTAATATTTTGAGAAAAAATTGCTTACATTTTTATTGCCATCGAAGGTTAGAAATTGAAAATCAAACTAGAACTGCCTATTTCATCAGTGATGTTCAAATGAGAAAAAAGGAGTGAATATTTCTTCTGGCTTCCACAGATTAATCAAGAAAAAACTTCATTTCAAACTATACTAAAAGAAACCATTGGTTTTATCAATAATAACAGAAATGTCAATGGTATTCGTATTTGTGACAAGAAATTTTCCTCTTTACAAGGAGTAGTCTATAGTCACATAATGAAATGGAAAGCAGTAATCACGAATGCAGGTTTTGTGATACCATAAAAGTTTACACAAATTAAAACAATATGGCAAGTGGCCTTTTGGGTTGCGATTAATTTTGTATATATAAAATATCCGATGTCTACATGAGGTGGAGATTTTACTACTTTTTGCCTAAAATACCACTTGTCTGTGATTTGTTTACGTAATGTTCTTCATTTATGCACTTCTTGACAAAATATCACAAAATTACTTGTATGATTGCCAATAAAGATTTGCTTTCATGTTTTTCAATTTTTCATTGCGATTATTAATTCTTCATAATAACGATCCACATACTGAACAAAATTATCTTTATGGTTCATAGTTATAAAATATTTTATTTCAGTTTAAATTGAATATAATACAAGAATGTAAATTTTCTACCTAAACCTGTTGTCCAAGTCAGGAATTATTTAAGAGAGATTTATATCGCAGGAAAAAAAAAACAGAACTAATCCACTAATTTTCATTAACAGCAATTAGTAGAAAAAAGCAGGAAATTGATCTTTTGGCGCCTATGTCAAAAGGTTTTTCTTATATAAACAGTAAAAAATAACGTCATTAATCAAAACCTCTCAGGTAAGCCTTGGCCAGTCAAATATAACGCATAAATCACTTGCTACTGTTAATCTATGACAATGAGATGGTTTACTGCATTATGCGCATGCGTGTACATATCTGGTGACTGCCATTTTCATTTTGCTGTCTGTTACTACATCTTGTTTTTCCTTCCTTTCTTCTGCTTCTTTTTTCTTTCTATTAAATATAATTTACACTTTTCTATCTATCTTGTTTATTTCCTTTTCTATTTTTCTATTTCAGTTTTGTCAGAATGGGCTAAGTTTAAAAGCCCAGTACTGTTAAATTATGACATTTGGGATACTAATAAAATAGATGGTTAATTTGAGAAGAAGGGCAATTCAAAATTTCGTGACGTAAGGATTTCACATGTATCCCAATTGGCTTTCCTCTAATTATTTCTTTCTTTCATAAAAATCCAAAGTTTTTTTTCTGTTCGTGACGTCCAATATGGACAATTTCTTCACAGATGTAGAGAATACGTGAGACAACAGAGATGTGGTTCTACAGAACGATGCTGAATATGCCATGAAGTAAGCACATGAGCAACAAGGAAGTTTTAAAGAAAATGCGGACAAAATTAAACTTAAACTTAAATAAAGAAATAGATAGTTGAAATTTCTGGGACACATAATGAGGAAAGTGAGTTTGGAGAACCGTCCTTTCCACACCTCATAAATAATGGACTTTTCCGTTTAGATCGCGAGGAAAGACATATCAGAGACGCTGTTTGATTTCAGTGAAAGAAAAAAACAAAATTCAGACAGCAAAGCCGTGAAATTTTCACGGGTGCTTCTAGATATTAATATCTTACTAGTTTTATTTCTTATTTTCTTGCTTCATAACAATACTCAGGTCATTGTTAAACTCTACGATCGTTAAGTAGTATGGATTGTTTAAGGGGTGCGAGTTCAAATTTCGTCGAAAGCTTACTCTTTGATCCTATCCATGGTAATTACTTCATGGTTTGGCCTTCTAAGTGTTGTGATCAAATAAACAAAG